ATGGATTTAATAGAATCATCTTAAAGCTTGTTCATTTGTCTTGCATTCGGTGAAAAAAATGCCCGTCAATCTTGGTGCAGAGTGAGAAAAGTAATGATGATAATAATTGTTTCACCACGATCCCTCACATTTTTCTCACAATGATCCAGGTTCTGAAGTTTGACCTGCTTCGGAGAAAAGTGCTGGAATGGCAATGTGAGGAGGACAGGATGCCTGGAGAACCCGTGTTTGTGAAGGACCCCAACGGCACAAGCGAGGATGATGGTACTGTTTGTTTGTTTGTCTGTTCGTTTGTTCATTCGTCAGTTTGTTTATACGTTTGTTTGTTGGTTGTTGTTTTTTTGTTGTTGTTTGGATGCTTGTTTGTTTTTGTTTGTTTTAACGTGTTTTTTGAATGCTTGTTTGTTGTTTGTGTCAATGGTTTTATTTCTGTTTCAATTACATGTATATTCCAATCCAATAGAGATGCATCAAAACGTTTTTCGTCGATGTCTGTTTTGCCTTTTTGCATATTGTTGTAACAATTGTAAAATGTCAATGCCTGACGACGACCAATACAGGGAAGAATATTTTCTTACACAGAAACAGAAGAAATAAGGATTAAAATGACTTGCAGCATCTGCTGTGGCCAGTGACATCAATTCTGGCAGAGAAGGGTTTGCCACTTTTTGAGGTTTTAAAAACTTCTTTTCCTCTTGTGAATGTGCACAGCTTGGAACGATAGGGTTTTATAGTTCCAATAGCTCACCATCGGTGAAATGAGAACAACTGCAAGTACATTAACACTGTTACTATTTCTTCCAGTGAACAGTAAAATAATATTTTACCATTCTGTGCGAATTTGCAAAATTCTCTAGAGGTTTAACGTTCTTTTCAATTCTGTAAAGTTATCTAAGAGGCGGGACCTCTGAATTTAACGTGCATCTCCAATAGAATAGGACAAAGTCTTTGTTTTAATAAGAATTTTACGGCATTTGCACCACAATAAAGTCATATACGTATAAGTGCCGAAGATTAGAGGTGTTACAAGAGAGTAACAAACACAAAAAATGAAGGGGGAATGATAAGGAAGATAGATGTTTGATATGAAAGAAGGAGCAGACCACACCAGAGCACCGCCTACCACCCGCAGGGCCGAGTCAAATGGGTGGAGAGCATCATAAACCCCCCAAAACAAGCTGAAGTTCAGAACGCCCCTTTGGCGAGTCCAACCAGTCCATCCACTCCGTAGTCCAGCATGATACCAACTGAGCTAATGGCGTATCTTTATATATATAGTTTCGGTTATGGTTTTATTTTTACTGACTTAACACTGTTCTTTTAGTTTTCATTTTAATGAGAGTTTTACGACAGGTGCAACTCAAATAGGTCAAATAAGTGCCGAGGATTATAGGAGTTACTAGGGAGTAACACACTAAGAGCAGAAGGAGGAGAGGTTGTTTGATCGGAAAGAAGACGCAATTTACAACAGACCATCCATTAGTTTTACCTTTCCCTGGAAAAAAGAAATAATATACATGTACTTCATCCCCTAATTTCTGTTTTGGTTGAGCCAGGGCATCATTTAAATGCCTGTCCAATGTCCATGAGGATGTATCTATTATACATGTAACTCTAAAGTCGTGTAATTAAATTCTTGCATGTAGTTGAATGATGATTTACTTTTCTTTTCATATTGAATTTTAATGAGAGTAATGTATAAAATAATTTACACTTTTTATATGTAAACCTATGTTTTTACGGCCCTGTACAGCAACGGATAGTTTCTCTCTGAGACAATAAAGTATTTTCTTATCTTATTTTATCTGATCTTATTTTCAGGTGTGATTCTATGTCCAGTTCTGGCCCTCACTACGGCCAAGCCGTCCTACCTGGTGGTGCTAGATGCTTCCAACTTTACAGAGCTCGGACGAGCCACTGTCCCTGCCAACATCAAGATGAACATCACGTTCCACGGCCAGTTCTGCAAAAGACAGTCTTAGAACACCTCAGAGTTTAAACTACATTTTAGAAGATTTTAAAAAAAATGATGAACTCTTACTACTCCTTCTTCCCATCCCCCTCTCTTCCAAGCCAACTCTTGCGTCAATTATGCCATACCACAGACAGTATCTTGACAGGATAATGAATAAAAATGTCAAAATAATCCGCAAACTGCTTTACGTTTCTTGCAATGATCTCCCAAACAAAGATGCAGTCGAATAATCAAAGGCACAGCATACTGCTAAAAGTTCCAGGGTGAGCCTGTTTAAAGGGAATGTCTTAACTCCACAATGAGACAAGATTTAGAGACATGGCCAAGACAAACAAAATTGAATTCGCCAGAACCACTCTTTTCTGAACACTCGTGACCTAGACCTACACTTACCGTTTTGAACTGTGGTCTTGTATTTGAGTGCAAATCCACAGTTTAAAAATTACACAAGGACGAAACATCCAAGGGAAAATTTGGACCTGTAATGTTTTGAAAGACTTGAAAGGAGGGACCAGAGCTTCTTTCAACGATTCTATAGCCTAATGTCATAGACCTGGAGCTCAGATGTTTATCACGACAAATCTATAATAATTCTGTAAGAAATAGATTTCTGACGCGGTTTCTCCATTACACACGACGTATTCTATTCAAGTTACTCCATATTTCCCTTGCTGGAATGCCCGAATCTTTCTTTAACTTTTTTTAGAATAAACATATGACTCTAAAAGGAATTGATGGATCATTTTATCAAAGAAAGCTAGGTGAAGATCTTTCCTGCTATAAGATCAGGGATGTGGTTATCAGACATCAGTTAGAAGGAGCCAAGAAGTAGCAGTAGAAAGACTGAAGAAAGAGTCAGGAGCCCAGAGGAGGGAGCAAAGGAGGTCGAGGGTGTGGGGGCAGAAAGTGGAGACGAAAGCAGACGACAAAACATTGCTTGAGAGCAGGAAAGGGGGTGAAAGGAGACAATTTAAAGGAGAATAATTTCCATCGCTATCCTGATTCGAACCCGGGGCCCATTGAAAGAGAGACGAACACCGTAACCTCCAGACCACGAGAGCCC